TGCCCTCCTCCCAGTTATGCAAACGGTCCAACGAACAAACATCGGTTAATGACACCTGACAATCACATCCTTAAAACGTTTGCTAATATCGCCCGCGAACAGGCACGTCTGGAGCGGGGCGTGAACGGGTGGAGTCACAGCTGACTGCAGGAACTGCCCTCCCCCTCCGTGCGCACCAGGCCAGTCACGCCTGGCAAAGTCCATGGGTCGTTATGGGGCTTTTTACATTTTGTATGCAGAGTCCTTTCCCGGCTGCAGGTGTGACCCCTACGTGGCGTCTCTCTCCTGGGTCAGCTCCAGGAGGCTGTACGCTATACTGTAGAGGGAAGAGAGAAAGTTACCAGAAGCCTGGAGGGCAGGAACCTGTCAGTTTTGTGCAAGTGGGCCCCAAATCGCCACGCGATCTTACTTTAGTGACCAGCGTGGACCGTGTGGAACTTGTGTTGAAACTCCTCCTTCAACAGGAGCATAAACAGCTCGCCCCCCCACACAAAAAAAAGGTTGGGAGTGCACAGGAAGGAGGGGGTTGCCCACCCTACAGTCGTTGGCACACACACCCGGGCCTTAATCTCCAGGGGTGCGCTCCAGAATCCTCCCAGGCGGGCCCGCGGGCAGCCGCGTTCAGGGTCATTCCCGAGGCTGGGACGGAGCCGAGGCTCAGCGGCCAGTGCTGGTGCGCGCTCCAAGACACCCGGCCCAGCAACCTTGAGAAGGTTCCCCAACGCCTGCGGGCACAGGCTGGGGCCGCGCACTGGCCGTACCTGAGATCGTCGACACTGAGCCTGGGGTCAAGGTCACTGCCCTCGGGCCCGGGCTTCCGAGCGCTGCAGGCGGCGGCAAGCTACAAATGTAAGGGCGTAGGCGGACCTAGGAACGAGGGACAGGAGGAAAGAAGGACTCTGGACCAGAGAGAAGACCTGGGGACACAAAGGAGCCGGCGGCATCCTAAAGAAGCCCGACGGGGTTATTTATGAGGCCTGATGTCAGAGTGGTGCCAGGGAAGTGAAAACGGAGCTCACCCCGAGCGACGGCAGAATCGACAGCGGCTAGAGTGCTGTGTATAACGTTATAAATCAATGTGGGGCTTGTGATAGGAAATGCAGAGAGCTCGAGTTTGGGAAACAAACAAGGAAACAAAATCAAGTGGTAAAACGATTCCGTGTCCTCTCTTTTCTAACCCATTCCGTTCCTCCCCGCTCAGCTCAATAATTCCTTCCTTCCGCCGGGAGCCTGGGGTTGCCGCCTAGACGAGGGGAGGGGACAGCACTCGCGGTCTGAGGCTGGGGCTGCCTGGGTCTTCCCCAAGTTTAAACGAGGCTCCTTAGAGGGTGAGGGAATACATGTAAATAAACAACTTGGAAGATTTATGGGAAGGAGTTCAATTTTATAGGACTGTATTTATAGACCCAGCGCTGGCTCACTTATAAATAGATTAATGGGAAGCTAAAATTAATGGACTTGCGTGCCGCACGTTTAATTTCTGAAGCTTCAATGTGACAGACAACCACCCTCCGTCGTCCAAACGTAGAAGGCTGCGTGCGAGGGTTGTGCCTCGAGTCAGGAGCGCCCTCTGAAAGGGACACGGCCTGTCGTGGCCTTCAGCGCAGGCGCACGAAGTCCCTGGGGAGGGCCCTCCCGGGGCTGTTATTTACAAACGAAGAAAGAGAGTGTGGCCTCATAAAAAAGTAATCAGGCCTTCCTCCTAGCACTCTTTTCATCAGGGCCCTTAGCCGGGAATACCTGCCTGAGAGCCGCTTCCAGATACTCGGTAAACCTTGCACCTTGCCTGGCAGCCCTCTGGCCCGCAGGGATGCCAATGACACCTTTTTTGTTTTTGTTTTTGCAGGGTCACAAATGGACCTGAGAGCCCTGGCTGCAGATTATTTCCTTGCATCTACAGTTTCTGGAAGACAGTAGGAAAAGGAAAAGGCCCGCAAGCTGTCTGTCACAAACAAGAGTGTCTCCAGCTTCCCCTGCTCCTCCCCTCTCCCTTTTCTGATCTAGTTCTTTCCTGCAGTTATTTCCCTACAGTCAGACCCCTTGGGACCTTGGGTTTAGGCTGGTGAAGGTTACTATCCTGGACCTGACTCAATGGGGCTGGGGTGGGAAACTCACCTCTGAGATAACAGCCTGCAGGTCTGTTTCTCCTGAACCTGGGGCCCTGAGGCCAGGAAATTATCCACCAACTCTTTCTACCCACCAAAAGCAAATGAAAAGGATACCCGATATAACCCAGCTGAGTCAGGGATTCACACATATACTTGTTTTCTTTAGGTAATGGATTGCATGCCCTCATAATCGCACTTCCCCTGAATTGAATCACTTTGGTTGCTTTGCTTTCTTCTACTTCCATTTTTTAAATTAGTATTCTTTCGTTTGTAATTCTAGCACTGATCCATCTTTTAAAATAATATGGATGGAAGGCAAGAAGGGGAAATCTCACATAGAGAAGATTTCATTGTTCCTTTTGTCTTTTCATATGGGGGGCGGGTTCCAAAGCAAATCGATTTACCTGAAATACAGAAAATGGGTCTGGCAGGCATATCATTAATTAACTGAACACCAACTCTATGCTAAATTCGTTCATGTGATTTGGAGCTATTGATTTAACATTGCTGACTCTCCTAAAATTCACCTAAACAGGTTGCTTCTTCTGCCTTTTGTAAGTAAACAGAAACAGTGTTGCCTTTGGAAAGGAGGATCACATTTTACAGATAGAGGCCATGGGACACAAACACACCCTCCCCAAAGAAGCAGTGCCTGGCCAAACGGTAACAACTTGGACATTTTGGCTCTCCTGGTTTCAGAGAGGTTCCCAAAGTCTTGAGGTGAAATACAGATTGAGGTGAGGTTTGACCACTACAGTCCATGAACCCTACCATGAATAGCTTTTCCCAATTGTCACTGAGCCTAAGGTAGGAATCAACCTTTGTTTTCCTCTTTTGAGTCAAGGGAGTTTTTACTAATTCATTAAGGAAGCATCAAATGATGAGATCAGGGCTGGGCTTATTCCTAAAAATGGACCCTGTTAACTCAATCCAGATCCATACCTATGGACATTTCTCCTTCATCATTTCCTTCACAGATTGCTGCCCAGAAGCCACCCAACTAGTGATGGAGGAGAGTGAATTTTGACTTGGATCTACAACACGCTTTTATTTACCTGGGAAATGAATTTGACACCTTATTTTGTCAAAGCCAAAATAAACCAAAAGAGGTAGTTGACATGAGATTTTATTGCAAATTTAATTAGATATAAGAGAGAAGAGTGTCAATTTGGAATGTAAAAAATGAAAACACCACCTAGTGAAAGCAAAAGTGTCTATTTTTTTCTGAGAAGCGAAATTTATTGTATCTTTGTTGTAACAAAAAGCATTGCCTGTGTGAGGGGGAGAGGGGAGGAGGAGGGAGAAAGCACCTTCTTGGTTATACTTTTATCTGTCTGTAGAATTAAACAATATCCATATTCAAAAAACTGAAGATGAAAACACAACAAAAACACAACAATCTTTTATTTATGTAAATTAGATCAACACTGGACAATAAACCAATTTCTACCCATTACCATAACAGCTTGTCTATAAAGAACAGAAAAATCCAGATAGGATTCTACCTAGGGTCAAGCGGGGGGGATTTTTTGTTTTTATTTTTGTTTTGTTTTTAAATTTTTTACCACCCATTCACAGAGGTATAGATTCACAGATAAATAATCCCAAACTACTTGCTCGCCATATTTACACATTCCCATTAAATTAAGCATAAATAAATATATACAAACTGAACATGGATACCCTCTAGAGCTCTTCACATGAAGAGTCAATAGATGGATATTTCTCGATTGTGTGGCAAAACAAGGTGAGTGAATTAGAGACCAACTCAAAAAAAAGGAGTCAAATTTGGCATTTAAAGACAGTGTTCATTCCACTTTTGTAAAAGCAAAAACAAATGTCAAGATTTCTTCTCTTGCTACTCCAATACCTTAGCATACATCAGCATAGGGAGGGAAAGTGCTCTTGAGGCAACATCAGATGGTTTAAGGTCATTTCCCTTCCACATAATGTATTACACTTAGAGGATATCTGATGGGTTGACAGATTCTCTATAAACACTCTAACTAGGAACACTTTGCCCTTTTAACTAAGACTTTGTACTGGAGGAGCAGTGTGTGGATAAGTTTGGGGTTTCAGGATTTCCATCCGACCACAGTTTTCACAGGATATAAGATAGTTGCTTGAGAGACAGTTGTGTCCTTGGCCAAAGAAAACAAAGCGGCCAGATCTTTGAGAGCCCCTTCGGTTCTTTACGTGGGTGTGAAGAAGGGGAGAGAAAATGTAAGATGATCTGATGAGAGAGGGTTACAGACCCAGTTGTGCTGGGGTAGGGTGGGGAGGTTGAAGACCCCTTGGATATTGGAATCCTCTCCTAGGACAGTCCTGTCCTTACTAGACTGAGAGTCACAATAAAAGTATCAGAATGGCCAGGAGCTTCTAAAAGAAGCTTCCAACGTGCAAAGGGTTGAGGGCAGTGCGGCAACATCCTGGCCGCTTCTTCCTAAGGTTACGTACAGAGCCCACATTAAGGAGAGCTAGGGAGGTTCCAGCTAGCGCCTTGGTGAAAATGTCTAGAGTTGGGGTCGCGGGAGGACTGCTACCCACCTGTTTAGTTTGAAAATAAAGCTCAAAGGGGGCTTGCCTTAAACGTTTCCCTTGACTTAAAAGGCAAACTCTTGCGTTAATCCCACTGTTTATTGATTTATGGGCCCAAGGAAACCAAATCTTTTAATAACTCAATTATCAGATAAACATAGCTGGCCTGGCTAACGAAGGCAAGGGTTATGTGCCTCCTACATGAAAGGAGAAGTGGGGGTAGGCAGTAAGGGGGCTCCCTCTGTATGGGGCGGGGGGACCAGGCAGGGAGGGGGTGCGGGTGCATAGAGCCTCAATGTAGCCGCTGCTTTGGAGGACAGTGCGAATAATAATGGGGGGGGGCGGGGGGGGGGAGGCGACGGAGGGAGCCTACAAAGCCCAGCAAGACAACCCCCATCCGATCACCCGCCTTTAGGCGCATGAGGGTGCAGTTGCTGTCTTGGCAGAGGCCTGAGGGGGCTTCCAAGAGGGACCCCTGGACATCTCCCTGCGGCGCTGCGGAAGCCAGCGCTGGGCGGCAGCCGGTAGTCTCTCCGCCTGCTGCCCTGGGGGCGCCACCCCATTACCTACTGGAGCATGGGCTTTCTCGGTCCCTTTAGCCCTTAAGGTGAGACCGAGAGCGGGAAGGGCCTGCGCGTGGCCGGCAGCCCCTCCAGCGGCTGATTCTATGTCCTCAACACGACTGGGCCCGAGTGGCCCACACGCTCACAGGACCTGCACAGTAAGAGCAAGGCGCGTCCATCACGCCTCTCGCACGTCACACGCGTGGGGCGCGTTGCCCTGCAAGGAAAGGAGACGATGGTTTTCAGTGTGGTTTCTCCCGGCCTGTGCCATCAGAACACATCTAATGCAAGCGGCCAGGCCCCCCCGCACAAAAACGAGGGCTGCAGAACTGGGAAAAGCCAGGGGATCTCTACTGGCCTTATTGTCCAATCCTCGGATTTTGTACTTTCCGGACTGCTGGACTTCGGCCCTGCAGACCAAGAGGGTCCAGAGGAGTTGGGGATAAGAACTGGGGCGGGCCATCAACTTCATGGGGCCCATTCAGTGCCCGGAAACCAGGTCCCTAAGCCTCAGCCCCCAACTCTAAATGCCCTCACCAGTTGCAAAATCCCACTCCCTTGTCCCTCTCCAAGGTCAAGTCCCATGCTAGGCGACAGAGCTGCTGGAACTGAGTGGGTCCTAAGAGTAAAGCCAAGAACATCAGGATCTGTATCTTCACGGGATGTTGCCAGGGTCCTTCCCGTTTATTTTATTCAATGAATTGCCTCTAACTGCACTCAACATAGAGACCCATCTCTCTCCCACCTTTCTGACCGGGTGGTTTCCCAATGCCTATTGCGGGGAGAAGGGGCGGGAAGGGGGGACTCCGGATCTTATTTCATAATAATGCTCAGAGGGAGCCAGTCAAAGGAGCCAGGCTGCCAGAAGTGAGAGATATTAAATGCATGAAACTTTATCCACTGGGAATAGTCCCATTGCATCCAGACGGCAAAATTCATAGTTGAAATACATCTCTTTCACTTTGCATTATTTTACCATTATATGCCAAAACAAGTGCACGGGGGAGGGGGAGCTCATTCATAAAGCGTCTTGTAAGAAAGCAATTATTGCAGAAACACGGGGGCCTGCATCACCCTACTCCTCCTGCCCACTCCCAAAGCTGTTCCTTTGCTCTGTGAAAACAGCCTTCATCAGAGGGACGGCGGAAATGGAATCCATCTTAAAGGCAGGACAACACTATTAGAACAGTGGGATCCAAGAACCCTTTACTCTTCTCCCTCCAAATTCACTCTGCAGCGCCTCCCCCACCCTACCTAAATTCGGATATTGAGGGTGTCTTTTAGCAACTAGATTAAAAGTTCCTTCCATCTCTTATTGGCCACTTTCTTAATTATTTCCTTTGAGCTTCTTTAAAGAAGTGCACCTGCGGAATTCTGACACATAGGCTTTGATTAAAAAGGGATTTTTTTTTCTCTGTACCTTATAGATTGTGTAGGAAGCCCAAGTCCTCTTTGAAGAAGCTCATAAACCATGCGGGCAAAGCTTTGGAAAACAGAAGAGAATGAAATGGTACATACCCCTCCGAAGGAATTACATACTAATCAACGTATTCATAGTGTGTGTGTGTTTTTTTACTAGAGTTCTTAAAATCGGTAGATGACACAAATATTATAACAAACGCAAGATTCTCTTTATGCAGCTGCTGGCAAGGTTGGGGACTAGAAACATTTCTGAAAGGAATTGATGAGTCTGGATCAACTTATTGGTCCGGATTTTCCTCAGCCGCGGGAGCCTCTGTGTGATCCGCACCCAAAGCGGAAACCTCTGCCTGCACCTCGCTGGCCCCCAGCCCCTGCCATCCCAAATTAGTCAAAGGGTCAGGGAGCCAGGCTCCGGGGAGTGAGGGACGCAGGGCGGGGCGTGGGCAGGAATACCATGGAGACCCGGAGACCATCCGGAAGGGGCTAACCACACTCGCGGTATCCTGCAGATTCCCTGACCGCAGCAGCAAGGGAGGGCCACGGAGAAAAGGGTGACTGGGAGACCAGGGAGGTGAGCAGGAGGGGCGGGGACTGTGAAAGAGGTTCCTAAAAATATATTAAAAATTAAAAAGTTCGTGCGTCTCAGTCAACCAGCTCTCAAAAACTGACACCAACATGGTTTTCTCCGATTTTCTTCCAATAAGTTAGTGGGTTCCCCCCCCCCCTCACATGCTTAGTCTTATGTTTCTTTTCCAAAGGGGGGGAGGGGGACGAAATCATAGTTTCCTTTTATTATCAATATGACTAAGCTCGAAAGAACCCGAAGTGGAAAATCCGGACGGTTGGCTCCAAATGCATCTTGAAATAGACACTGAGAAACAATATTGTCGCTCCGATGTACGCCTCAGGGTTTTTGTTTGCTTGTTTGTTCTAAATGTTATTTAGCTTTCTTTTTTTTTTAATTTTTGATTGTATGTGTATTCTACCTATTATTCTTCCAAAGCCAATCCAATATTTTAAAGCTAAAATTGTTTGGTTTTGTTTTTTGTTTTCCTTTTGTGTTTAAAACATCTTTCCTTCTTTTTAATTTTTTTTTTCATTTCCTGTGTTTCTCCTCCTTGTCGCCAGTTTTACTACCTGGGCCTTCCCCAGACGTGTGCCTGTTAGTGGCGGTGGTGTTCAAGAACATCTTGTCCATGCCTTTGAGGGCCTCAGTGAGATAGTTCTGCAGGGCCGTGAGCGCGGCGCAAATGGCCGGCGCGCCGAAGCCGTGCGTGATGAGGCTGAAGTGCGTGAGGCAGCTTTGGATCCCAGGCTCCAGGATGGGGCTGGGCCGGCTGTTCCCGATTGGTGTCCGGTCCTGTGCCAACAGATCTGTAAATTCTTTACAAAGTTGCCTGCAAAGGGGGTGGGGGAGTTGAAGGAAGAACAGACAATCACCCTCAGTGTCGTTTTGTCATTGGCATTAGGAAGGAGACGCTCACACAAGCCCAGAGGCACGCGGTCACCGAAGAGCGAGGCTAATGTGGGCGACTCCGCTGTTTCCTTTCCCAGCGCGCTCCTCTCACTGGCAGCTGGGACTAGATGGGGGTGGGGCGGTAAGGCCCGCCTTCCACCTAGAAACTTTACACACACACCCCTTTCCATTCCTTTCCCCCCTCCTTACTAGGGCCACATAGACTCCCACTTTGGGAAAATTGCCTGACTCCAGGGCTTGATTTTGAATATGTAGGAATGTTTGCGTTTTTTACCTGGCATTTCTTTTTAAAGCTCCCTTCCCTTCCTCTCCCCTGCCTCTCCAGCCTCGTCGTGATCAGAGGCAAAAAAAAAAAAAAATCACGAAAGATATAGGCCCTTGGGCCACAAGCCTGTCCCTGGCACAGGAGCAGATTGCTGGAGCCTTGCATGGCCCTGGGCAAGTAACTGGTTTATTCCAGGAGAGCGTTCTGAGTCCATTGGAAGCCGAAATCTGTTTACCTGCGGAATTGGGGGAGGGAGGTGCTTTCGGCCCCCAACCCCTTTCTTTTAAGTGTATGCTCCTGAAAAACACCTTTGTACAGCATGGTTGTTGTCGATATAAAAGGATTCCCCAAATTGTTTAAATAAAACCTAAGGATAGATGGTGAAGCCACTGGGGAGAGTAGATGTTTATTTGTTGGTGGTTTTTATTTCCTGGAGGCACCTCGAATTAGAGAAATCTCCCAGCCTTAGCAACCCTGTATGCCTAGCTATGGATTGGGCTTTTTTGGAGAAGTTATTAACAGTTGGGGGGTGGGGGGGGGGGCGTGCAGAACAGAACAGAAGGGCACTACCTCAGAAGGTTAAATAGCTTGGCTCTGTGGCAAGCAAAGCATCTCAAAGACCCCCAGCTTTTCAGAGACTGGCTGGCTTCTGTCAGCTGCCTCTATTCAGGTCTAGGAGGTGAACCTGCATATAGCCCTCCAGCCCGGAGGCTGGATGGAAAGGCCAGGGAGACACAAGGTGGCTCCTAGCCTGGCCAATAAGTAAATGAGGCTCTGCCTGGAGACAAATTCCGGGCCCTTGGTCCTATAAGCCAGGGATTCTGAGACTTCATGGATAAAAACCACCGTTCTCCGTGGCCCCTGTCTTCAGCAGCTGACAGTTTGTTGGTTTAACACTGATGGTGTCCCCTAACTGATGGTGTCCCCTAACTGATGGTCTTCACTCTCTGCCCTCTGGTTTCTCATTTGAAACAAACACATATACACAACCAGGAAGCAATAGCAGTACTAGCTTGGCTCTAAGTAGGGCAGTTCTTACAAAGAGGGTAGCTGTGGGGCTAGAGGGGAGGGGGAGAGGCATTCACCTATGAGAGGGCTTCAGAAAGTACGTGGGGAAAATGGGATCCAAAGATGAAGGCCTTTGGGGTTTTGTTCTTGTTCTTTTTCCATCAACTTTTGAAACCCTCTCATACACATCCCTACCCAGCAATCCAGAAGGCTGGGGCTAGCGAAGCCCCCCTGCCCCGCATGGTATGGATACAAGGAGTCCTGGCCTTAGAGAAGCCCCCAGGCTTCTACGGGTCTGATGCAGTTATAAGCATCCCTTAGGGAAATGACAGTAGTTTGTGGCAATCCTGTTATATGATTTATATATGTTGTTGTTGTTTGCAAATTCCCCTTCCTCCTTTCTAAAATGCCAATAAGCCCGCAGCACCCCACCGAGGGTAGCAGGGGCAACCTCCTGATGAAGACTCATTTTCATTCTATCAGGCACCTCAGAGGGAACCCTTCTAAGGAGAGGGTGGGTGCTGGGTTTTAATCATTGGGCAAGATGGTTAGAGCCTTGCCTTAAGTTCGCACTCATTACCAAAGTGCCAAAAAAGGAAATTCTGAGCCGGAGAACAAATGCTTGGAGTCAAACCTTTTAAATCTTCAAAGCCCTAAACCAGGGTCTGTAAGCAATTAAAGTTCTGGGACATTAATATTTTTTGACCCTGCGGAAAGGGGCAATCAAATTCCAATCACGTCTCAAAAACATCTGAACAAATTTGAGCAAATGATTTTTTCAGCCTTCCATATATTTCTTTAAATTACGCTGTCAATGGAACAAACTGCGTCCCAGAGCACTAAATAAATGAGCGCCGCTGCTTGGGCCGCGCCCGGGAGAGAAAAAAACGTGCCAGCGCACGCAGCGCCGCCCACTGCAGGCCTGCGCCGGCCATAAAACACCAACAATGTGACACTGAAGCCAAAGACAGGAGTAAATCAAATAAATAGAAAACCCACTGTAAAAGTTCAAATGAGCTCTGGACCTAAATTTAGCCGATGATTTATGATTTTCCCCCTCTGGAGTTATAGTAAATTTTATAAGTCTGTGGAAGATGACAAACAGCAACGTTGGAAACGGAGTAATTAGAGCTTTGGGTAGAGATGGGTACACTTGGGTGATATATCCATTCCTTGAGCGCCCCTGATCGCGTATGCACGCCCCTTCTGCTGTGACGGGGAAATAGGTGTGAAACCTAAGCAGAAATATGCACCAAGGGGCCCAGGGAAGAGCAGGAAGGAGGAGTACCCCAAAGGTCTGCCTGGGATTACTGGGGTTCAGGAGAGTAGAACTGTGACTAGTCACCCCACTCCTGAGCTCACAGCACTTCGGGAGCCCACCCAGGAGACCTAAGTGTCCCCTCCACCCAGCCCCCTTCCAGCAGTGCAGCACTGTTGGGGAGGAGTTAAGGGGGGGTGTAAGGGTGTGGAGCACTCACTTGGTGGCCAACAGCATATTCTTTCGAGAGTGCAGGTCGCTGGGGTCCGTGTGCTGCCGGTTTAAATACTCCGAAACAGCTTTGGCAGGAAACTCCGTTTCGCAAATGTATCCAAAATCCCGAGCTAAGTGGACAGCTTCCCCTGAAAAGACAGCAATGGCGGTCAGTCATAAAAGGACTCTGAACACTCCAGGGAAGGCGACACTTCCTGGCCTACTCTCCCTCCCCCTAGAGGCCGGTGGGGAGGGGAGACAAAGCAAAGGTTCAACAGATGCCCGAATGAAAAATGGTTCCCAGGCTGTCATTCCAATGGATGAGACAAATCTGCCTGCCTTCACTGCCTCTCCCTGGTCAACCTCCCAGCCACCTCCTAGCCTGGCAACGCCAATAGCTTCAGGGTCTCTCTCTCTTCTCAAGCTTTGTCTTCAGGCAAGTTAAGCCCATAAATTCTGGGTGTCCCTTACAACTAAACGTAGACTTCCAGCAGGGCATTCAAGTCACGGCCTCTCTTTTGAAAGTATCTGTTATGCCAGCTTTCAGTAAAATATAAACATTTTCACCATTCTCCTCTAGTTGTATTAAGGGGGAAAAGTATCTTATTAGTAACTGATAAGCATAAGCATAAATTCATGTATATATGTCTACGCATATGTATTAAAGAATATTTCTCTCCAGCATTAAAATGGTCATTCTCATTTGTCAATTTTCCTGCTAGTCAGCTTTACTTTTCTCCCCCTCAGCATTTCCTGTCATCCTCCTCCCACTGAAGGTCTTTCTCCAACACCAAGATGACATGGAAGCTATAGGAAACCCGGGCTTTTGAGGGATGCTCTAGCTGATGGGGAAGCCCCTTTCCATAAAGAATCATAACCTTTTCAAGCATAGCCCTAGGGGCTTAGGGCTAATCTTGAAAACGAGTTATCTTGAGTTAGCCTATAGTCACATTACTTTTAAGGATCATGACTTACTTTTCATCATTATCAAAATAACAACAAAATACTTCAAACACAGCGCTTACAATGACTCATCAAACTGAAAAGTGCCCAACCAAATATTGGAATTGCAGTGGGTCTTCTAGTTTGCTCACTTTTCAACTCCAAGCCTCTGTTTGGGACTGTGATTCCCTTGACTTCATTTCTGAAGGAGGACTGGATATTAGCAATTCCCTGAAGGGCAAAAGGTGAAACCCCCCAGGCTGAGAGGCGACCACTAATAACTATGGTCTGGAAATTCCCGTGCCTGCTACACCTGGAGGGTGGCCTTGAGCCAGGTAACTTTGCCTGGAAGAAGGCAAACTGCAACACCCCTCCCCACCCCCCCAACTGTGAGGACTATAAGGTTGTTCCTTAAATATGCAGGATCCCCTCCTCCAAAACCCAGCTTTGCACCGGGTGCCATAATATCAAGTCCATAAAAACGGAATACACACATGTTTCCGAAGGCCTAAATGCTAAACCATAGAGAAAATTCTATAACTTTCTCCACTAGGACCATCCAGTGTTGTTTCTCATCCCTTGCCCATTCTTTAGTTAGTTGATCCCCTGGTTCTTGATTGTGGGATCAATCTTGTGTAGCACACAGCATCCATAGCATCCCCAGCCCCAAACAAATTAGCGTGCTCTTACGACAACTGTAGCTCTTGGATTCACAATGGGCAAAATCTGCAGTAAAGAGCTTCCCCCACCTTTCCCTACCACCACCACTCCTCTTTTCTCCCAGGCATTGCTGGCTTCTTATTAAGCTGTATTTCAATAACAATAAGACCCAAGCAATCAGCTGATAGGGCTCAGGGAATGACCAGAGTTTTAAAATAACTATTCTAGAAGAATAGTTCCTCAGTGGACAGAGAATGATTCAGAGGAGAAATCTGGGGAGAAGGAATGTAGAGTGGATTGTTGCTTACAGAGGTATCTTTGCAAGAGTTCAAACAGAGGCACATCTGCGTGTTCCTGGAGAGGACCCTGCACCGCACACTCCAGAGCATAGAGACCCTTGCACGTGTCTGCGCCCTCCCCCCCCAACTGCCCGCTCCCTCTAAGTATAAAGACCTTTGAACCTCCATCAAGCAGCCGCTTGACATCCAACTCATAAGGGCAAAACAATCGCAATGATTTCCTGTTAATCATGAAACGTGTAAAATGTCAGCCTTCCGCCAACAGTGAAGCTCAGTCCCATCGTGAAATGGCCGCGCGCCTTTTGCTTACCTTCCACCAGGGAGGTGAGTAACGTGACATTTGCCGCTTTGCGCCTGCCCGCGGGTAAATTCAAACCGATTTTTTCTAGCCTTTCTCGCAAAGATCTCCCCCCATTTTTCGATTTGGCTCTGAAATTGCAAGAATTAACATTCTGATTAACCTCAGAGTGTTCCTGAAACAAAGTTTAGATTTAGCAATCTAAAGCCCAGTGGAGCTTGAAGAGGTTTTAACTTGAGGTTAGCACATTTCCCCGGCTCCCCCCCCAACCCCCACCCCCTTTCCTTTTGGTTATTTGCTGAGGTTTGCTTAATTTCTGCAATACAGAGCATTAAAAAGTAGTTTCTTTCTTTTTTTATCTCCTGAGGAAAAAAAATGTTACCAGATGGGAATAATCAGGGTATAGGATGGTGGGTCCGGGGAAGGTAAAAATTATATATGCAGACACACACACACATTTTGTTGTAAAGAGCAAAAACCAGCAAGAGCAGTCTGGCAGAAAGAAGCCAATGGTTCAGAGAGGGCAAGGTACTTGCTGAAACAGGTGGGCTCTTTGAAGGGACTAAGGGTCACTCTGGAGATCTGATTCAAAGGTGAAGGAAACTCACGCATGGGGAGGATCATCCTCATAACTGTAAAACACACATCCGGGTGGGTTCCCGATGTGTCAGGCTCCAAGATCAACATTGTTATTAATTGATTATCTCAATTGATCTCATAGAAAGTGCTAGATGCATGCAGTTAATCTCCAGGGAGTGATTGCCAGGAATTGCCCCATCCTAGGACTCACTTGAAAATTGAACCAAAGTAGAGGTGAGCAAGAAGATTCGAAATGAGAAAACCTGGGACGATTTTTAGGGGGGGTGGATCGTTTTTTAAAACTCTCCACAGTCACTATGTCCTTCCTTGGGGCACTAGCCACACCAAGGCTGTAGGAAAGAAGTGTCTTTCAGCCCTCAAACCTGGATGGACCATCCTGGGATACCTGTCCCATGTGAGGTCGCCTTCACAGCAGGGATACTGCCAATGGGTTTGGGCACTAGAAGGGACTCTTGGAGAGGCTTTTGATCAGAAAATAAAAGGCCAGGCCTTCCCCTAGTTCTCACAAGGAGTCAGTGGATGGTCTTCCTGAAGTATTGGGGAATATCTCAATGGCCTCAAGTAATTGCTGTAAGCCTTATAAAATGTCCTTGTTGGTATGATTAGGGGTGATTGTGTTTATTAAAGGCAGGAGGACACACACACACAGAGAAGAACAGTTATTTCAAATTGTGGGCACAGTTTGAAATTAGTGGGCTATGAGGCCTAGCTTCATCATCGTTCACCAACTACATTTTAACGTAACCAACTACAGAGAAACGTCAGAATGTCCTGAGGTGTAAAGGGAGGTTGGATCAATGAAAATTCTATTTTAGATAAAGGTATGTACGCGGTCTGGATGGCACTCTTGGATGGCTCTCCAACACCAGCCCCCCCACCACCATCACCATCCTCCCTGCCAATAGTGTCCAGGCTTGTAGGCTAGGAGAACTCTATTCTTAAAGTACCCAGGGGGCCAGGAGGGAACTGGACAGCGAGAGTGGGGCAAGGAAAATGGAACCGGCCCTTCGTGGCGAACAAGCAGCAGGAGGGTTCGACTGTCCTGGGCGGGGTGTAAGTTGCGCTCCGGGGCTCCCTGCACTTGGCAGCTGCGGTTCTCAGCGCGCCCAGTTGCTAGGCAACCGCGTCTGCCGGTGCCCCGGAGTTGCGCGGAAGCCATTCCCCACCGTAAACCTGGAATGGGTTGGGGAGTTATTACCTTCTGAGGACGCCGCCGAGGAGAGACGCATTGAGGCATTCGGGGGGCGAGAGCCGTCTCTGAACTTCCCCCACAGTGACTTTGTACTTTGAAGTCGAACTAAGTAGAGACAAGCGGCCCGGGACTGAGCAAAACACCTCGCCCGTGTTGACGGACATCCCTCCCAGGAAGCCATCTTTATTCATCATCAGAGAAGTCACAGATTTGGGAGGAACTGGAACTAAAGAGGGGGAGGGGGACAGGGGGAAGAAAGAAAATATACCATCAAGGTGACCGAGCGTGGATCCCGGTGACTGGTTGATAGAATGTGTCAGTGCGCGCGCAGGGCGAGGCCTGGGACGGCCGCCAAGCGGAAAGCTGGCGGCGTAAGTGCTTGTTCCCGTGGGGCTGAGGGCGTTCGCAGCCCTGGGGACAAACAAACAGAGACGCCATCGCTGCTCTGGAAACTTACCCATGTGTGCGGGCCCATGGGTGCAGCTGGCCACCCAGCCCCGGAAACGCTTGACCCAGAGTTTGGATTTTGCTGGACTAATGCTGTGCCCTCACGTGGTAGCTGGGCGACCTTGGACCAACCCAAACCCTACTGTCCTGGAGTGGATTCCGACGCCCAGTAGCCAGATGGGGATGCTGAAGCTATAAATCTTTAAACGAGCAGAGCACCTCAGCTTTCTCCCAGAGAACAGCTGGTGGATTTGAATCCCCAACCCTGCAGTTAGCAGTCCAGGCTACTGGACAGAGGCTTGAGGGCTCCTTTGCGAACTTTGGGCACTTCATTGCTTCCTCTGGATCTTCTTTTCCTCCTCTGTCACCCCAAGGTTAATATCAATGTCTTTCTCTTTTGATGCTGAAACCCTAAGGTGATGATCCCTTTCAATGACATGAAATGAAACCCGCAGTCTTCGTGGAGACCCCACCTCCTCTACTATTGGACATAAAAAAGAAACTATGATCCTATTCTCATCAGACAAGACTAGGGTAATGGGCCCCAACAGGTACTATTATCAAGCTAAACCCAGAAGTTGTGTCACAGAGTCGGCTTGCCTTTTGAAAGGGAGTGGTATTCCTTCCTCCCCTGTAACCAGATTTGTTTACAAATGAACCCAAATGCTCATCTCCAGTGAAAGCCGTTCTGCTGTGACATGAAGTTTGCTTATAAATGAACCTAACCAACTGACTGGTGATCGAGCAGTTATGATTTACAACAGGTGCCCTGGTCAATCAACCAATCACTTTAATTCATATGAGCGGCACTCTTGCCTTGCCCCAGTTGTTTCATTTCGGCAAGTAATTGATAACAAACCGCACTCAAGGTATGTTTTATGCAGAAGTTAATAAGAACTGACAGCTGGTTGCCACTGCTACCCAGGCACATTCAGACTCTCCAGCCGGTATTTCTGTTTAATTGTGTTTCGGTGTCATCTGCACGTCAGGAAGAGGCGGAGCTCAAAGGAACCAGAAGGGTGCGCAAATGAAGAACAGTCAGTGAGCGGTCAACCTCCGGCTCCCTGATGATCTTGCCTTTGGATTTTATTTCTAGACTGCCCCAGCCCGTTTTGTTGCTGTAGTCTCAGAAGTCACTGGACAGGCAATCTCTCCTCCTGGCTTGCCCAACATCTGAGTTTCTCCCATTGGGATATATGTAGTCCCCAAATCCTTGTTTATTGATCACCAGCATGCAGTTGCCATTAACAAAACACACACACACACACACACACACACACCACCCCCACCCCATCCCCCAAAAGCTGCTCTCCCTGGCCCTTTAAGGAAGACTCTGCCACACGCTGTACGGCTGGTAAGGGAAAGATAACCTCTTTCTAAGGCTGTGGCCAAGAGCTCCTAGGTGCTAGGCAAAATGCTAATTACACTGTTGGGAGAACAGACTAACCTGTAGTGGCTCTAACAACTTGTTTTCTTTAATGCAGGTCCCAGCATTCAACCCTCCAAGATAAAGTGACTCCTAAAAGTCAGAGGTCCCCAATCTTTTATTTATATGAATTGCACTAGGCCCTTTGCAAACACCTGGTGGGAAAAAAAGATTTCCTAATTGAGTGCACGGGGCACAGAAGTATTCCCTTTTGTTATTTTTTGGTAGATGTTTCCAGGTCTCTGGATTTGTCCACAGAATCCAAGTGGATGGGTGATATTACATGCCTTAATAGATGTTCTGCACTCTGGGGGCGGAGGGGGGGGGGGTGCTGCCAGAGAAGGGGCTCATGTGTCTCTGACTCTGAGCCTGGTATTCTTCTCAGTGTGGCTGCCTTACACATGAGAGGGAAACAAAGATAAAGTTACCCATGTGTGAAGCAGATTTGGGATTTAGAATCACTCAATGGACAGTGGGATGAGAATCAAGAGCCACATCTATTTTAACCACTCCCATTCTTTACAGCTGTCCTGATTTCTGTAGTTCCGATTTATTCATACTCAAGGTGCCCTAAACAATTTAAGATCATGGGGAATGAAACTTGTCCCCAAGGTGTAGGGTGGCCTTTTGTAGGCTAACATGGAGGAAACTGGAGAAATCAATGGTGTAAAAATCTCATCCATGATGCTCAGTACAATTTATCTTTAGAACGTGATTTTGACAGAATAATTTAGCAATGATAGCAAAAACAGAAAACTCGTCTAAGCTGAAAATACGAAATCCACTTCCTGCTTCCCACATTCAATAACTACATATCTCCTGAGGATTAAAAATTTACCTGATTCTCATAGTCCCAGATGCCAAATATCTCGAAAAGCCAGGCCTTTTGAGACACTTTATAACCTGCCTTCTAATTTCACAATTGTTAATCGACTGATTTACCTGACAAGAGCTGTTTTCTTTGGGGAATATTATTCCCACCCCTTCCTGAGAGCTGTACTTTTGCATATACAAAACCCACAACCAAACACACTGCCTTTGAGTTGGTTGACTCAGAGGACCCCTGTCAAGCAGAATGTAATTGTCCCATAGGGTTCCCAAGGCTGTAATCTTTAGAGAAGCCCACTGCCACATCTTTCTCCAACAGAGAAGCCAAGCTGGTTGGTTCAAATTCTCAACCTTCTAGTTAGGAGTCAAGATTTGTATATATGTTATCACCTAAATACCACTAATCCAGTCAGCTACCACCAGCCCATGGCTGTCTGTGAAAGGTGCCTGCCCCCCAAGACACAGATTATTTATGCAGATCCACTGCTCATATTTCAATTTTATAATTTAAGTATCATAACCCTGGTCCTGCTGTCTACCCTCTCATCCCAGGTCTTAAACCTCTGGCCTCCTCTGCTCCTCGTTCGATCCCTTAGAGCAGCACCTATGCATATTTTCTCCCACTTTCCCCTTCAGTCCTGTGCTCCAGCATCGACTTTCCCTTCTCCTCTCACACCTGCTTAGCTGATTAACCCCCAAATTTTATTCCCTTTGTCTGTTCCCGTCTGCTTTCCCCCAGCTTATCAATAAACGGAGAGAGCCCTGGTGCCCGGTTGATTTGTTAGTAATTATGAGCACACTGTTCCTGCTCACAGAGCCCAGAGATGGCAGCGATAGGTTTAAAGCGACAGCAGGAAATGGTAAGGAAATGGAGCATAGCGAAACTCAGCATGAAGCTTTCAGTTCTTTACATGTTTACAATTTTCTGTGCATACATTAAAACTGGGTGGTTGAGTGGTGGTTTTTTGTTGTTTTTTTTGGTTCATGTTGTTTTTCTGGTTTGGTTTTTCCACTTCCGTTCTCAGGTGGATGGCGTGGTCAATTTCTGGATGTAAAACACCTACAAAACTCACTGCCCTCCCCCTTTCTCTGCGTCATGTTGGGGAGAAGGGAGAAAGTTTAGCCAGATCAATATTTCATCGCAGTGCCTGAAGTTTTATTTAAGGGATTAGAAGGAAACTGATTAACAAAATATTATTCATTTGTAGACTCTCTGGAGCCAAATTAGGAATAGGCCAGGTTTTTATTTCTTCTCTGTGAAGTTGTAGCTTTGAGAACTTCCTGTTTGGTCGTGAGGGTGATTTGTTGGTGGAGCAAAGGGAAGAAAGGCACCCCCCTTATAGATGCAGGGGATAAGTCCGTCTGAAATGCACACTGATTGCAAAATCAGCACGTCACCACCACATTCATATTCCCCACTCCCAGAGCACCCCTGTCCTTGGAATTGTATCATTTCTCCTTGACTCCAAAGCTGGACTTTATCCCACCAGCACACCACAGGTGAGGGGTGGGGGGGCGGGGGGAAGAGATAATGGAATGAAAAAAGGATTCCCCCAAAGAAAGATAAAATGTCAAAGCAAACATCCAGGGTTGGCATCCTTTAAGGCAAATATCTCAGAGTCTGGAACTGAGTTGGATCCCATCACTTACTCGGTGTGGGGACCCTTGAGACATCATTCATTTTCTCTGGGCCTCAGTTTTCTCTCCTTGGCAACTGGAAAAAGGTGCCTAACCCTTTTTCTGCTTTAAAATTCTGGATACCTTGATCACTGTCCAGGTGGCTGGACTGTATCTCGGGTCTTATTTATTTTAGTTTCTACTTTCTAGACCAGATCAAAAGAATCCTACAGAACCCATTGTAACAGAAATGTGGCCATTTCTTTATTTTTCCCAGGAAAGAACATCCACCCCAATGGAAGTGTTTATGTGGGGAAGGGGCCAGAACTAACGGGCAAAAGTGGGAGAGAACGGAGGTTGTACTGAAACTAACCAAACAGGATATCCCTAAGACCTATGAAAATGCCCCACAGTCATAACATTTGAACCTTGGATTTCAGCCATGCTAGCCTTTCCAAGAAATCACAGCATCTTTTCTGCTGTCTAAAGTGTCAACCCGATTGCTTAGTGGCCTCTGAAAGCACCAACAACTTTCCCTCAAAGCCTAGGTGAGTCCCCCCACCACCACCACCCGTTTTTGTTGTTGTTGTTTTGATTTTTTTTTAGTTAGGCTGAATGATGATGGCCCTGATCAGTATATTAGCTGGGCGGCCCCCCACCCTCCCACCCCTGCAAGATTCCTAATCTTAATGGAATTGAGAATTCAGAATGATTTTTTAATGTCTCGTTGGATTTTTAGACTGTTAATGTACCGCATCCTTCTCATTATTACTTTATTGATTGCTCATTGACCAGCCCCCTTCAAATCGTATTAACCACCCTCTGCCGGTTTAGATTAGGAGAGTTTAAAAAGCACCTTTCATTACTCCCCCCACTCCTGCCACGGAGTTGAGATGCAGCAGCTTAATGGGAGCTCTAATGGGGCAGCTAAGAGGAGAGGGGCCACGGTCCCTGCCGATTGCATTAATAGCTCAAAGGGGGCCAATACAGAAAATTAGCCGTAAACGAGCTCTGGAGATCTTCAAATGAAAGAGCCATTTATCACGCTGGCTACCTTCACTCCACTCATTTGCTCTCTCTACTGGGAACAACTCATTTCCTCTTAACTAAATTACTTCAGAAATGTCAGCTAAGCCCAGATAGCAAACATAACAAGAAAGGGGGCCTGTAATCTATGGGGTGATATCAATGCCAGTGAAAAATTGGACTGGTTAACTTTAACGAAAGGGGTCCTGCCACAAGGGGCGAGGGAGACAGCTAGAGTTATACATCCTTTTGGTCCAAGTCTTCAGCTTCACAGACAGCTGCAGAAGCCCTCCTAGCCTGTTCAGTTGAGGGCCTTTTATTAACCATGTGGATTCCCGCCCCCCCCCAAATATCTAAAAGCCCATTAGAAAAGAAAATTAAGTAGTGGAGTCCTGAGTCAGTTGTGAAAATGTAGAATCCTCCACTCTGGAAACTTTCTCACCTCCTTCTTCACACAGTTAATCTTTTTTTTTTTTAATCAATTTATTGGGGCTCATACAATTCATCACAATACATAGATCAATTGTGTAAAGCACATCTATACATTTGTTGCCCCCACTATTCCCAAAATTCGCTTGCCTCTTGGGTTCCTGGAACAGTTAATCTCTTGAAGACATCCCTCATATGGATTGGAGGGAAGGAAGGGGGTGGGGTGGGAATCAGAAAGCAGGGAGGGGGCTAATGAACCCATAACCTTATTTTACGTGGTTGATTCCTAGTGATTTAGGCAGACAAAACAAAACAAAATCAACCACATCCATACCCATTTTACCCATGACTCTCCAAAGATAGAAATGAGATACTGGGAGATTTTCTTCACAAATTCAGTCAAACACCTCAAATATTCACGAATGGGAGTTGACCTCACATTGCCTATTCATTCCAAAGCCATTGAATCAATTCCAGTTACTATGTGCCACTTAGATGTTTTAAGCTGCATTTAAAAAGAGAGAGAAAATGTGCTTTTTTGGGGGGTGGGAAGGGGGCTTCATTGCTTGGGCCTATTCCTTGACAAGTTAAATGATACTGCTAGGACACAGAACACTGAGCAATGGGGTTCCAGCTCTCCACCAACAGGAAGGAAATGAAAAAAAATAAACACAACAAAATGATAGTGGAGAAACTTCTTTGACACGTCTCCCAAATCATCCAACAATCAGCCAAAGAGGAGCGCCAAGAGAAAACGCTGAGGGTGAGCTGTGAACACAGTTGCAAATGTACACAGTACACCCTGGTGAGCGATCCCTGCGAACCAGAAAGCTGATGGTAAAACCCAGAGGATATGATCTTAAAAAGAGAGGATGTGATGTTTGGAACCATACTGAAAATGGGTCGTTTCAGAAAAGCATCACATTCCCAGGCCAAATGACAAAATTTCAAGTTCAGATCCTCCTCAGCCCCCTTCCTGACCACGCCCCCTACCCTCAGCATAGCCCCTTTCACCTTTTGCAAAAGAAGAAATGGAAGACCTCACTGCTCAGAACTCTTATTCCAAAAACCCTCCTCCTCTCCTCATTGCCTTCTGGATCACTTTCCAGAGCAGCATTTCACTGTTTTTGTGAATGTCATTCGGCTTAAATCAATCATACACGATTGGAGGTGGGGATTGTGGACATCGGGCAGAAGGACTGGCCTCCCCTAGCATTGCTAAGGAAGGCTTACAAATCGTATCTCCAAATATCAGTCCTCTGATCGTTAAGGATTTCACTGTTTACACAGTGAAACTCCTAAATTTGTGGCATGTAAGTGACATTTGAGCCTTTTGGCACATATTCTAATCACCAAGAGTTCTCTCAGTGACTGTCAGAGAAAAGCGGGTGGGGGAGGGGGCCAGAATTAAGCAGCTGCAATACCCTCGAAATGAGTTATTGTAATTACATTTAATTAGTTTAATTAGTTAATTATTTTGCTTACAGCTGTACAAGAGACTGCAAACATTTGTTAATATCACATGCCCTTTAACAGTATGGGGTGATTCCACAGTCACACTAAATCATGAATGCATATGTAGGAAGATTCAGAAATGTGCATTGGCTGTCTCAGCTTCTTGAGATGCGCATATTTAGCCACACATTTGAGACACACAAATAAGAGAGAACTCATAAAACATAGAGGACAGGGAAGAAAATTACCACCACCACCCCGTCTCACCAAATCAGGAGAGAAGGGACTATCTCAGTGAAACACGGGGTGGGCTCAGCATGACATAGCTAGAGCACATTTTGGAAGTCCATCCTTGCCAACCAGCCCCAGACACTCTGCATGTCCCATTATTGATGATGTGCCCAGGATGGCTACCACGAGAAAAACAGGAACAGCATTTCTGTCCCTCTGTCGGTCTCATGCAGGTTTCTCTCGGGAATTCCTCCTCCACCCCACTCCCTTCTTCCAAGCATGCCCTTTTACCCAGACAGATAGCCTCTGTCCTACGATGGAACAAACATGTGCATCTTGTAAAATCACAATTCCCCCAAAAGGAAAACTCACAATAAAAATGTTAATGCACAAAAAACTTTGCTTACTTTTGTAGGGAATAATCCATACCTTTCTTAATGACAGACTGGTCCAATAGATTCATGCCGCTGTTATTGGCATCTTCAACTGACTGTGAATATAAAAACATCACTATTCAAATTGACTGGATATTAAAGAGCAGCACACATAAATCACGTCATTGGAAACTAGAGTTCCTGTTATTTCCATTTATATTAATTCACAAAGGGAGGTTTTATCATTATTGTTATTACCTCCAAATCGACACAGAAAATGAAACTCACTCAAATTACAAATTCTTCCTATGGAAGAGGGGAAAAGAAAACTGTGGGAGGCTTCTGGGATGTGGTATTAGTTTAGCTATTGCCTAAGACACAGACACAGGAACTTTGGTATCATTTACTCTTATGAATGGTGAAAATCGGGCAACAGCTGAAAGGCTTCCACGAATGCTCCTTAGAGCCACTCTTTTTCCTATGCGACTCCCTTGCAACGTCACCCCAAAGCCCTTTTATAACTACTTAATAGTTTACATTATGGGATTTTAATTAAAGTCTGAGCAATTTTGAATGGAATGCAAACAGCAACACATAGGAACACGCCGCCAGGACCCCACGCCCACTGCAGTCCCTACAAGTTCCTGTGTGCTTATGAGCATCTTACTGCACCACGACAGTCGCTCCGAGCCTGCAGTTTCCTCCCCCTCCTCCCAATCCCGCCACCGCTGCACACCTGTTAGGAAGGCAATAACAGCTCGCGGGCGCGCGCACACACACACACACATCCTTCCAGGTAATTGCAAAGAGCTTCCACCTCTTTGGTCACTTCCCCCCACCCCTACCTGAGAAGGAAAGTTTCAGCCCTGCGCTTTAAGTTTCAACCCAAAGTAGTCATGGCACTTTGGAAGGGAAGCGGCTGCTGGCACCAGAAAACTAATGGCCAGGCTACCCCTTGACGGAGTTCGGAGCTCAGATCCACGGCCTCCCTGAAAGGAGCGCCCTCCCTTCCCCGCCTGGCATAACAAGACATGCTAAGTAGGTCTGCCTCCTCTCCTTGGTCCTTTGAAACCGAAGTTGGGACCAATTTGTCACCCACTCTCTAGAGAAGTAAAAAAACAAAGGGCTTCCGAAAGCCAGGTGGTATTTTCACAGAGCTTCCCACCCACCCAGGCTGCATCCATCCCCAGACAGGGCGGGCGGGCGAGCGAGCGAGCGGGCGTCACCAGGAAGACGCTGTCTGCCCTACACTGGGGGCACCTGGGAGAGGAGATGATCTCATCAGAGGGGGCATGCCAATTTGTTTCTTTTCCTTTTTAGTCGCCACTAATGTTTTCAGAAAGGTGAGCAAATTTGTTATTCTCCAGCAGAAGCGCTTTCCATGTTGCAACATGCGACGGACCTCTTAGGAAACCGCAAAAAGCTTAAAATCATCAACAACAACAACAACAACAACAAAACTTCATCTCAACTTGTTTGGAAATTCCCCAGGGGACATACACAGGCCCACATTCACCCCTTTCGCTGCTCACGTGTTTCTAGAGGCAGGGTGTCCCGGAAGGACAGAAATCATCGCTCGACGGTAGGCGGGCGGCCCCACACTCGCACGGGCCGGGCCCGCGCGCCCCCTCGCCTCGCCCGCCGTCGGTACGTCAATGTGCATATACGCCTCATCAGCGACGTGGGGTAGTTGTGGTAGTTAATGAGAAGGCTCTTGTCTGATTTTCTATCTAATTACGGCCGCCTGCTGGGTTTTTGTACAGGATATTCACGCAGCATGCTGGCGCTTAATCGTCACAGGGAGGGTCGTAAAGATTTAATTAGGACTGCATGCGGAAGCGCAGAAAAACAACTCAGACTCGTAATTACTAGACTTCTTTAGTTAAAAGTGATACCAGGGGCTGCTTTAAGACACTCGGGTGTGTTTGAGTGTGTGTGTGTGTGTGTGTGTGTGTGTGTGTGTGTGTGTTTGGTGGGGGGAGTGGTGATTGAACATCTTTACATGATGGAGGTGAGTGATGGGAGGTTCAGAGGTTCTAGAGCCCCGCCTGGGAGAAGAGGCGGACCAGCGCCCTGAAACCCATTGCAAACTAGTAAACCCATTGCAAGCTCCTTGTCATCTAACTTCCTCTTCCTCTTTCTCCCTTTCTGATGTGGCTTTTCTGAGTTTTCAAACACACACACATACATACACACACACACACACACACACACACGCTCGTGAGATGGGTGAAATGTAGCATACCCAGAACCCAAACAGCGATTTTCTGGTTTAATAGCCCCTGAGAGTAAATTGAAATAGAAATTGACAGGGTTTTATAGTTTCATTAAAAAAAAATATTAGAAGCATTTGGTTAATTAGCTCTTCTCCTTCTCTTCCCTACCGGTCTGGGCGGTGACCCAGAGGATGTGCCTATAGGTCGCCCAGCAACCCTTTCAAGTCCTGCCCGGTGAGTGTCTCTCGCTGAGGGCATCCACGGATCCCGCAGCGCCCTCGGACTCTGGTCCAGGGCTCAGGTGGATGCGAAACAATGACCCACCGGTGCTAGGGATGGGATGAGTGACCTGGAGGTCCCAGCCCAGGCACTCTCTGATCTCTATTAAAGATAAGACAGACCAAACCAGAGTATCTGCCAAGAACGTCGAAGCACCCGGGCCCTGGCTCTCGGCAGTTCAGCCAGCGCTCCCACTCCCTCCCTCGAGCCGCTAAGCTGGCAGACAGACCGGGCAGAGGAGGCCGCAGCAGCTTCGGATTCAGGATCCGGGCGTCTCCGGTTCATCTCTCGCCCCTCTCTTTGTCACCTACCCTACGTCACTTCAAGCACACACTGGTCTCAGCCACTCTGACACTGAGACCTGTACGGAGCCAGTCTCTGGAGGTCTCCCTCCTGGGACAAGCGCACAGGGTAGCCCTCCAATGTGCCCGCGCAGCTCCCGTCCCTCCTCTCTCCGAGACCCGGCTGCAGAGCGGCGGGGTGGCAAAGGGTGTCAGGGCCCCCTGGTTCTCAGCCCCTAGGATCCCAACCAACTCAACTCAGCCTCTCTTGCTCACACAAGCCACTGAGCCAATCCTCTGAATCTGACCAGGGTACCCTGCTAAGCACTCACCAACCCAGACTGTTTCTTTTCATCCTTTACATTTGACCCAAACACTTCAAACCTTCCCACTTGGGTCCCAACCTCAACTGATTAAAAGCAAAATCAAGAACAAAATCTGCTACTGTTATTTGGGGGGAAATTCCTGGGATCCCTGGACCTGCAGGATGATGGTAGCTGGTTGGAGCATCACCTAGAGTAATGGTGATAAGCTGACCCATCTTCATTATCCAACACTTTGAACCAAAATCAGAAAGCTTGATTTAACTCTCCCCATCACTACTCCAGTGCATGGAAAATACTATTAAATGTTTCATCTCTCATATGATATTCCAAAATGAGCAACAACATTTCTAGGCAGGAGGAGTCAAGCATTTCAACAAGAACTGTAACTCTGACTATGGGTAGATACAACCCCCAATCAAATGATTCACCTTCTGTACAAACAATAAATAACTGTAAATTTCCTTTAAAACAGTAAACTACCATCGAACACACACAGCCAGCCTGTCGTGCTGTCACTACATTTTAACGGTTGTTTTGTTTCATTTCCCCCAGCAAGGGAAAGAAGATCTGCGCACCCCATTTTCCCTTTCTTCTTTCCTTTGCCTGTTCTTCAGGAGCCTGTCGAAAATGATGCATACGCTACACAACTGTGCCAATGAGCCTGAAGTGTCAATTAAATCGCCTTCAACCGCATTAATCTTTCTGGAGACAATTTAAATGAGAAGGGGGAAAAGGAGACTTGCTCAGAATCACCCGGACAGTTTTTAGGAATCCCTTGGTTGATGTTTCTTTGTTTAGTTTAACCAAGTGTATTCTCAACCAAATCAGGCTCCATTGTGTAAGTTGCAGATGGGATGGGGGTGGGGGTGGAGTGTATTGAGCCCTTTGTTTTAAGAAATAAACACGTGGTGCCTCTAACCTGGATGGTGGCATAGGGCAGAGGGGAGTGTTATTGGAGTTGGGTGGGATTGGAAGAGAATATTGCTGTGCCATCATTTAAAGGATCAAAAATAAAATCATCTTGAAAATAGCATGCACCCTCCCCTCGTGGATTCCACCCACAATGATGTCTTTCTGATTCTCCTCCTCCACCAATATTCTGTTTCTAAGGTGAAGATTCTGGAGAAAGGTTTGTTCGGCCTGTCGGGCAGGGGCATGAGAACCAAGCCCTGGCTTGGAAAAACATAGTGTCTTTTTCCCCCAGTGTGCCATGTCATACTTAGCAAAATACTGTCAAATGTAGCAGGACCCTCTGGAGTTCCAGGAGAACCCACATTCCAAGCTGGCGCCACTGCCTCAAGGCACAGTGAACTAGGCCCACTTTGATAGTGAATGGTGGTGGTGGTGGTGTGTGGGTGTGTATGTATGTGTGTGGGTGGGAGGGTGTGAGTCGGTAACACACACACCGCGCAGGAGAATACCCAGAGCAAAAACATCTCAGATGAGCCTACACTAGCGTCCCTCCCTCCTCCTTTCCCTTCATGACTTGATTTCTGAAAGTTCTGGCTTTCCTAATTCAGAAGTCACCGCTCTAGAGCCAGAGGGGAATCTACACACAGACAGTTATAGGAGGATATGGCATGTCCAGCTGGTCCAGGTCTAAAGACGGGATCAGACGCCCCCACAGAGGACAGAGCTGCCCCTCCCTTCCCCCCATGGGGGGCGGGGGAGTGCATCCGGGTTATTTCTGTATTGTCTTTGGGGTCGGTTGGGTGGCGGTTACCTGAACATCTTCCATGCCCGGGTGGCCGAGGCCGTGCAGCGACAGGCTGTCCCCCATGCCCGCGTCGAGGCCGTGGTGCGCCGAGTGCAGCAGCACGTCGGGCCGGCGCACCGAGTGGTAGTCCCTCCGGGGGTCGAGGCCTGAGAGCTGGGGCAGAGCGGCCCGAGGTTGTGGCAGGAGAGAGCCGGCTTCAGAACCCACTTCTTGCCGCTGCCGTTGCCCCCAGGGGTGCTGTTGGGGCTGGTGCAGCGGGTTCAGGGAGTAGGGGTCGTTGACATGGGAGTAGGGGTCCTGGCTCTGGTGGTAGGGGAGCGGCTGGTAGGGAGGCGGGAAGTAGGGCGGCTGGAAGTCCGACGACGGGGTGTGGGACAGCGGTGGGGCGCTTGAGTAGGGTCCTTGAGACACCGAGCCCAGCTGGGACAGCCGTGAGCTGTGGCTGGGGACGCCATCGTGACGGTCCTGGGAAGCAGAGAGCGGGAGAGGGAAAGAGACGGGGAAGAGAGAGAGAGAGAGAGAGAGAAATACAAGCGCCAAATGGAGAAGCGCGGCTTCTATACGGTCTTCTCAAGACGGGGGAAATCAGAGTCTGGAATTTAGACCCCAAATTGGCTCCGAGGGCCACATGATTTCAGCAATTCCAAAGGCAAGACTTTAGGGAGAAAGAAATGGGTGGGGGGAGGCACCCACTTAACTACCATCGGAGCCTTCGGTTGGGAGTGCAAAGCTGGCAGACGGGTGAGGAAAGGGAGGTGAGCGTGTACCAGGAGAGGGTCAATTCTAAAAGCCGTAATCACACATTTCAGAGTCTTACAGAGGGTTTGCTCTTCTGAGTGTTTTAAATCGTTTCTTCTACCTCTTTCCAGAGGCCGAAAGTGAAACAAAACTCTTGCTTAACCTTTAACTACCTTTTGCCTCCCAGGATCCGCAGCCGCAGGACAAGGAGGCTGCCCCCCCCCCCACCACCACCACCAGTAACTCCAGGCGCTCCTCGGAGTCCTGGGGTACAGGTCTCCACCACCCCCTCCCTCCCCAAGAGGAAAGAAAGGACTTGAATAGTATTTGATTGAAACGGATCTCATTCGAAATCATATTCTCAGCCCATGTTAACTTAAGTTGGGCTGTGGTTCACAGGAGTTCTTTCTAAGTTGCTTTGCTGTATTCAACACCATGACACTCCAGAGTGTGACAATGAAGGACTGGGGGCTGGGAGTGGGTGGGGGGAAGCCCCAGGCAACTTATGTCTGTACCCATGTGGAGTGGGCAATCAAGTGCCAGGAGAAAAGGAAGAGGCCTTTAGGGGCTTTACATCTCTCCCTCTCCTCCGTGGAAATGCCCTGGTAAAACCCCCAAGCTTCTTTTAGCCGAGAGAGTAACCTCAATTTCTAAACGACAGTGGCAAAAAAAAAGAAAGAAAGAAAGAAAGAAAAAAACAAGAAACAAAGAGAGAAAAAAGTTTTTCTGCTCGGCCTCCCCCTCCCCAGCTGACTCAAGGAGCTCAGATGGAAAACACAATGCAGAGAGAAGCAGCTGCAGCCTCGTCCAATTATGGTGCTAAATTACCAAGCCAAAGGCGCTCAAAGGAAGACAGAGAAGAGACAGAGAGAGGGAGACACACACGCAGAGACAGAGAGACGGCGAGAGGAGGGAGCATGCAATTCTGGTACAACGTGAATCCAGACTCACCATGGATGAATAGGTGTGGACTAACATCTGGAAAAAAAAGCCTGGTTACTGCTCAAAATAAAACAATGATTAAAAAAAATATATATATATATATAAATATCAAGGAGTCCAGCAGAGAAGCGAGCTGGACACAGGAGCCGAGTTTGAGGTGTTTCCAGGACAAGCCATCAAAAAAAAAAAGAACCCCCCACCCCCCCAAAATTGGCGAGGCCTGTCACCCACAGGCAGAGCTATTCATTGACTGTCTCTTGCTGTCTTTTGGTCTCTTTTCTTCCGCTGCTGTTGGGGGCTCCGGATGCAGTCCTCTTCCACCCGAAGCTGGGCTCAGACTGCTACGGCGCCCCTTCCTCCCTCTGCTTGCCTACACCGCCTCGTAATAATTGATATTCATGACTATTAATATTACACGAGTACTTTAAAGGGAGAATGGAGGACAAATGGAGCGTGAAGCAGCAGCGAGCGCAGAGCTCCCCTACTATTGTAAATGGCGTTCATTCAGTGGAGAATTACTAGATGTAATCAGACGAGGGGGCTGGCAAAGGCAGGCTGGGGGAAAAGTTTAGCAGGAAAGAGGAGAAGTTCAATGAACTGAGCTGGGGACTCGCACAGGGCAGACCCTGCTCTTTTGGCCCGAGCTGGGAGGGAGAGCTGCGCTGGGGGCTTGGACAGGACGGAGACGCCCTTTTGGTACCTGCCTTGAGACTTGTCTAAGAGAGAGAATTGATCGCCCAGGGTATTTTGTGTGCAGATTAAGAAACCAAAAGTTTTTTTAAAAGGCGTTGCCTTATATTTTCTAGAAGGGTGGGTGGGGGGAGAGGGAGAGAGAGAGAAGAGCAAGCTGATGGTTCCCTGTTGCTTGCCGTGAACTTTAAGACTTTTCCTGAAGGCGGGGATGGCGCTTGTTTATTAAAGGACAGAAAGGGGGGCTTTTTGTCCCTGCTGTAGACTCTCCCTCTTTCGCGATCGTGCAGCCGGAGATTTTTACCTTGATTTAAAAGGTCTGCAATCAATCTACATGTACACTAAACTTATCCTTTCCAGGCAAAGCCAGAGGCAACAGAAAACCTTTCTGGGGGTTTCAGAAACCCGTTCAACTGGCCTGACTGCTATTTCTGTTAACGTTCAACCTTGCTCCGGTCTTAAATAGGCTCCTTGCACTGGTTCTGTGTTCTGAGCTGAAAATTTCGGCAAGGCAGGAATACCTGTATATTCTCTCTCTCTCTCCCTTTCTCTTACCCTCCCCTTTTTCTCTTCCTCTCCACTCTACCCCTCCCTCTTCTCTCTCCCTCCCTTCTCTCCTCCCTCCTTTCCCATTCAGTCAGTTTGCTTTCCTTAATCAGAGAACGAGTATTTAATCCAGATTAATTTTAGAACCCACCCACATTCGTCCCCTTATACTCGGCGCTATTCACAGGGGCCCCATGCCCACCAGTGTTGTGCCCACTTCGGGCACTCAGACATTCTGGAGGGGGAATTCTAGCGCCTTTGACTCGACCCTTTCCCTGCCTGCCTGTTCTGGAAAGAAAGGAAGGCAGAACCGAAACAAACCCCACTGGACGCAGAGGCGCGGCTTCTCCAGTTCACACACTGCCACAAAGAGGGAGGAACCCCCCAACTACCATTCCACAGAAAGATGGAGCTCTCTCGCTCCCGTGTACTACA